CAGTGGAAGAACGCTTGGTAAGCCACCCATAAAGTTACTTCACTTCCCAGTGGTGGCTTTCTTGTTCGTCCTGTGTTGTGCTGAGTAGCTAGATCGCTAAAGCTAGTTTTTTCACTAGCATTACATCGAAGCAGTAACAAGTAGTGGTGCCTCAGTGAAAAAAAAAAGAGGCCTAGGTCCTGTTTTTTTCATGACAACCATAAGCAAATATTGACTCAGACTTATTACAGAATGATAAATGTCAAGCCATTTCATTTTTAGCAGTACAATAACAACGTTTCCCCTTTCACATTTATAAATGAGAATTTAAGGTTGTTTGGGAGAGAAATGTGTGTTAATTGGTGAAATATTTTTTCTGGGGAATGATGCTAGGTGAATAAGATGATGCAAGGAAAACTCTTCAGGAAGATTTTAGGATTGCAGAGCATGCTCAGAACTGGTTTATTTCTGGCTGTGGTCCCTTTAAGGTGAGATCTGTCTGGTGATCAGCATTATTGTGGATTAAATTAATTGGCTGTACTTAATCCCTGGGTGGATATACTAAGAATAAATTCAAAGACATTCATTTCTTCGCACGAAATGAGCAGGTTACATATCCAGGGACATTTATATAAACTATTCAAACCACTGAAACATCTTTTTGTTTTGTTTTGTTTCCTTTATAAAGAAGAGTTCAAGTTCTGGTACGTACAAAACTATTTGATATCTTCTTTTGAAAATAATGTCTTACTAGTTGTATTTTGTTTTCCACTTTATATCTAGGTTACCTACCTGTGTTCTAGCTAACCATTAGAGAAAGGATAAATGTTCCTAATAATTATTGTCTTCTACTAAATATGCCAGAACATTCATAGTATGCTGATAAGAAAGAAGGAGAGAACTTCAGTTCCAGGAAATCAAGCTGTTCTAGAATATTCAGAAATGAGTAAAGTTTATCTTTTCTTCTGGTTACAAAAGCACCATATACTAATTATAGAAATCTGTACAATACATTAAAGAAGGAATCTGCTTGTAATTCAATGATCTGAGACTGCCACAGTGGATAATTGGTGTATTTCTTAACTTAGCTCTTGGTCCCTAACCTTACCTTACAGAGCGATGAAAACCTGTGAAATGAACTGATTTGCTCATATCAGATCTGTGAATTCCAAATCTGTCAATTTTGTTTTGTTCCACTCTACTTCATTCTTTCTGAATTCCCTGAATTCCTACTATATGACAGAAAATTAAACAAAAAATATAATTACTTAAGTGACACTGGTATTTGTAAATATGCTATCTGGTTTGTCAAGGAGAGGAGTGAAGGTATAGCCCTTCTGGTAGAAGCAACTATTTAGCTTTGGGCAGCATAGACTCAAGTCTATAGTTGGTTGAGACCAGGGATGACACAGATAAGCCTAACCACAGTTGGACCTAGCGAACCAAAGGGTGTTAAAATCTATGTAATCTTAAAATACAATGAAAGTATTCATGATAGTTCCATGGTCCAACTTTCAGCAATGAAGAGGTTTAGCAGAGAAGAGGGGAGAAGGTTGGTAGTGACCCAGACAAATCATTAGAAACAGAATTTAATACAATTTGGGCTGGAGGCAAAGAGATTTTGTTAACCAGCTTCCTTGTCAACTTCAGAACTCAGCGATGAGGACAGTGGAGGGCCTTAAGATTTCACGGTGTCCATTTTTTTTCCCTTTCCTACTTCTACTTTAGCCCAAATTTCCCACAGAATTAAAACCATTTTAGGATGCTTAGTTTGTTCATTTCCTAGGTAGCCCTTAACTGTATTATTGCCTTATCCCTTCAGAAGGCACAGAATAAACATTATTAAAAATGTATGTATAGAAACATTGCTTAATTTTCACCTGATTTCTAATTGGTTTTTTAAACTGGCTAAGAAAAGATCATAATTAATACAGGGTAAGTTAAAGTTGTGGAGCACTAACAGCTGCTGCATAGGCCGCAACTCAATGACCAAGTGCTGATCTTGTTCAAGTGCACTGGCTAGATGTTGCACTCTCTCTTCCTGCCATACTCTGATTCCTCAGGTTGTATTAGACATTCCTTCTTAATATTCTCTTGGTAGCCCAGCTCTTTACAAACTTCTCACATGAGCTGTAGGAACTGCATATGTCAGGGCAAAGACCAATTCTTCCTTAGGAAGGAATTTGGTTTGCACCCCTTCTGGATGATGACAACAAGCACTGAACAAACATCCATCTTTCAGTCAACCATAATACCAAATCTTCATCATGTTCTGTGTTTTTGACACAATGCCCACCCTTTAGGCCCTAAACCTTCTCCCACATTTATGCAGAATCTGAATTCTCTCTTAAACTGTCCCCTATGATCTTTAGGACTTCCCAGAGATTCTCTTACATACAATTGGGATCATGTGAACTTGCATTTTTCTTATATTTTTGCCACAGCCTTCTTACTAAGGCATTGCTAACACCTTGCTATAAGTACTTTCTCTGCAAATGCTCTGCCACTGTTGAAACTCTGGCATCCTCCCAGGGCATGGTATTTTCAGTTCTCCCCTTCATACATTAGACTCAAAAACCAGTGTTCAGGGCCTGGTAGCAGTAGGATAGGGACAACTGGGGCCTCTTCTTCCCTCCTATTGTCTTTATCTTCCATGTTCACTCTCCTGTTCCTAGCACACAATCTCTTCCTCTTATTTTTGCAAAAACAAACAATTCCCTCTTCCTCCCACATAAACCTTAGCATATAGGCTCATATAAACATTTTCCAAAAGTGTTCACCAGGTTAATGGTTCTCAAAACAGTGAGATCCAGGGACCAGCAGATGGTGTGGTGGTTATGTCACTGGACTCCTATATGGCAGACCATGGTTTGAGTACCAGACCCAGAGGCTTGAAACTCATGCTGGGCACATGTGTGTGCATGCCCAGAATCCGAAGAGGAGAATGGAGAAGGGATTGTGATTTGGCCATCTGCTCTGGGGTGATTTCTTGCTTTCTGTCTCTCTGTATCTATGGCAAACACACATGCTCTGTAGCAAAAAATATCTCTAAAACAAAACAAAACAAAACAAAACCCAGTGAGAGCCAAGCAAAAAAATGAGTAACATTAAAAGTCACACAATGCACTTATATACAGATAAATACCCATTCCCAAAATTCAGTGAAAAATGTGTCTCAAATACTCTTCATGTAAAATAAGTTCAAATAAACAGAAAGGAAACTAACCTAAAAAGTAATAGGAGGTAAAGAGTTTTGAACGAGCTCCTTCTTAGAGGTGGTAAGGGCATGGAAGTTAAGCAGCATGCCCAAGGTCAGACTGGTTTATCAGAGGAGGATGAGAGGAGGCTGTAGTTTTGCTGATTCCATTACAAAGCCGGATTCTCCAACCCCTGGCGTTAAGTATCATAATTTCTTTAAACCTTTGGAGAAGGGAGAAGAGGGAGGCATCTAAATTCTAGGCTGAATTTCCAGTGTTTTCTAAAAATGTTACATATAAATAAGATTTGGAAATCACATGAGAGATGTATGAATCATCTTAGATAACAACTCGCAAACATTTAAGTAGGTGATTCGGGCCAGATTTATAGCTGATGTATAACGTGCCTTTTCCATCTCTATAATACCAATTACATCTATTGCATTTATTCCATCTCTCTTTGAGTCTGCAGGCCTTTCTTCCTTTGTGAAGACACTAATAATTAAGTCGATTTACAACATAAAAAAGTCATGAAATACTATAAAAGAAAAGCAATCCCAGAAACAAAAAAACCCTTCCATAAGCTGTCCATTTATCAACCAGGCTCTGGCAACATTCAGAAGTGGAAAAAGAAAACCTTTGTGGTTTGCTGAGAATGGCTCTTCTTGAATTCCCTCCTGAAGTTTTTACTAGTATAAGCAGTACTCACACTGCACTGTTTTTAGTAGCCTATACCAATGCTGTCACTCATCAAAGGACATTAGTGCAATGTATCCCAAATGATTTGCCTGCATTTTCCCCAATCTGCAGTGAAAACATTGGATACTATGTTAATATGCCCCTAAGTAAAGGATCTATGCAAAACACTCCTCCCACAACTTACTCTAAGGTACATTTCCCTCCATTTGGTTCTATCCAACAACCCAGACTTCCAAAAGGTTTCTTCTTTGTCCTTTCCCTTTGACTGCCTGGACATGTGGGATTAAAGTGAGCTGCAAAACTCTCTTTTCTTACTGATGGTGTCCGATTTTCCCTTTTGTTATTTATTTATTTTGAAAGAGATCTTTGCTATAAGGCACGTGTGTTTGCTGGAGAGAAAGAGACAGAGAGAGAGAAAGTGAGAAGTCGCTTCCCAGGAGGGGTGACCATGCCACAGTATCTTCTCCCACATTTTCCTCTTGGGATTTTGGGCAGGCACCCACATGCATCTGACATGAGTTTCAAGCTGCTGCGTTCAGGACATGAACTGCAGTTTGCCATGTGGGAGTACAGTGCCACAACCACTATGCCAGCTGCTGGCCTTCTTTTTGTCATTTTTTAAAAAAAAATATGCAATAATGGCCATTAATTTTAAAGATTTATGAAGATTAGCAATATATAAAAAATTCAAATATCATCCATAGCTGTAATCCAGAGATAACCATCATTGACACTGGGCTTTATATATTTCTGGACTTCTCCCCATTCATATAATAAATATTTAAACACAAAAATTAACGTCATAGCACATGTGTTTAAAAAACTGCTTTTTCACTTAGTAATATGTCATGATCACCTCTCTCTGCTAAAAATATAGATCTATAAAACCATGTTTGATAGTTGCATAGTTTTCCACTGCATGGGTATAGGTACCATCATCTATTTACTTAGGTCCTTATTAGTGTCTTTAGGTGTTTAGTTTTTAAATTATAAATATCCTTATTTAATTGTTTTATTTGTGTCTTTTTATTGTCTCAAAATTATCTTCTTAAATTAGCAGGCATAGTGAATGAATGATTGAGTAGATGAATAAACGAATTACTAAATTCCAAGGAGTACCCCGGATGTCTGTAGCTATAATTAGCACACGTTAGCATTTTAAAGTATTCTCTCTGGTTATTCTGGACATGATCATTTTCTTTCCTCCAGGTCCCAGCCAAAATGAGTGAAACCCCTTCTACTAGCTTCTCCATGATTCATCCGACTTCTTCTGAAGGTCAAGTTCCCTCTGCTCGCCCTCTGAGCCTCACTCATCCTGTTGTGGCCAAGCGGATCAGCTTCTACAAGAGCGGAGACCCCCAATTTGGAGGGGTTAGGGTGGTGGTGAACCCTCGATCCTTTAAGTCCTTTGATGCTTTGCTGGATAACTTGTCTGGGAAGGTGCCCCTACCTTTTGGGGTGAGGAACATCAGCACCCCTCGGGGAAGGCACAGCATCACGAGCCTGGAGGAGTTGGAGGATGGTGAGTCCTACCTGTGTTCCCACAGCAGGAAGGTAAAGCCGGTTGACTTGGACAAGGCCCGACGACGCCCACGACCCTGGCTCAGCAGCCGGGCTCTCAGTGCGCATGCGCAAGGCCGTCCAGCGGCGGCCCCAGCAGCCACCCCCAGCATGCCTCGCGGCCCGCGGAGGCTCTTGGTCTTCAAGAACGGAGAACCCCGGACGAGGCGTGCAGTCCTTGTTAGCAGGAGGTCTACTCAGAGCTTCGAGACCTTTCTGCAGCACCTGACGGAGGTCATGCAGTTCCCGGTGATCAAGCTGTACGCCACGGACGGAAGGAAGGTGAGCGCTGCTGGTGCCCTTCAGGCCTGCGCCGACGTTTGTGCAGGATGTGCATTGCGGCCCCCTTGAGTGTGTGCCATCTGTGACGGCGTCTTTGGTCCTCCCGCAGACCTGATACGGTGTCAACCAGAGAGTCTCCTTTTACCCCTTTGCGCCTTCTGTCTTCTCTGGGCACTGACTTATATTCTGTTTTGGAACAGAATCCAGTCTCAAAAGTATTGCTTGGAAGAAGTGGCCAAGAGTAGTATCCACCTCAATAGAGAAAGCATTTTCCTAGATCCCTGCTGGACGGTCAGTAGTCCACAGCATGTCCACAGGAGCTCACCTTCCCGCCCTGCTGCGACTGCCAGGCGGTCTCCCAGCTGTCTCTTGGTGGCTGTTTGGCTGCAGATGCTGTTAACGGTGGGAAATACTGCATGCCTTTTAAAGATTTCTTTAGTTATGCTGAAGACCAGCCTGTCTCTTTCTAGCCATATGTAGGCCCAGGAAGGTTGCAGGAGTCCGGGTACTCACGTTTGAGTCTTCCTGTTTCTTTGTGAAAATAATTAGTGCCTGGGTCTAATGGCTATGTCGCTGGACTCCCATGTAGTTGACCGCGCGAGTTCCGGACCCGGTGGCTTAAACTCATGCCGGGCTTGTGTGCGTGTGTGTCCAAGATCTGGAGAGGAGAAGGGATTGTGGTGTGGCCATCTCCCTGGGAGACGATTTTTTGCTTTCTTTTTTTCTCTGTCTTTCTGGTGAGCCCAGGCGCCCTATAGCGAAAACCACGGGGGTGGGGGGGATAGTGCCTAAGAAAATGCGTGGTGATTATCTCTTGGAAGCCTGGGAGGTTGTTGAATTGATTCAATGAAAGTTATGGAATTACGACCTGCTAAGACTGCAACTTGCTCATGCTAGGACCGTGACTTTGGTTTCTTCTAGGTTCCCAGTCTCCAGGCAGTGATCCTGAGCTCTGGAGCCGTGGTGGCAGCAGGAAGGGAGCCATTTAAACCAGGAAATTATGACATCCAAAAATACATACTTCCTGCTAGATTACCGGGGATCTCTCAGCACGTGAATCCCAAGGGAAAAGCTAGGTCAGAACGCAGAAAGAGTAAGTCATTTATAAATATATAGCTTTTGTTTTTAACTCTGAGATTTGTTTTGCCTTAACGAAAAAGCCATGCTTAAATGATCAATTCTTTCATTACAGAAGATAAGATATGAGAGTAATGAAAATGTTCTAGAGTGAAATTGGTTTTATTTATAGTTGTAAATGACATCTCTGGTAGTTGCAGAGTTTTCTCTAAATATTACCATGCAGTATTTGTAGCTGAGCTCAATAGGTTAATAGGGTGACTATTTTTTCAAATCTACATTATACGCATGGCCTTCCTAGGTTATTTCTATAAAAATTGTAGGTTCTAAAATCCAATTATTTATTTAAAAAGATTTATGCAGCCAATTCGCGTTGGTTATCAGTAACCTAAGATCTGTTGCAAAATGTAGCATTGTCCTTTGGAAAGTGGAAAATGAAGGCCTCTCACCTAAGATAATGGAACAGTCTGGGAAATCCCTGTGGAGCATGGCTAATTTCATCATTGTACTTCATATTTCTAGGTACTTACCTATTGGCAAGCATGTTCAAACTTATATAGATTACTGAAAAGAATTTAATTGATTTAAGAAGCAGGAATATCAAGGTTAATACTAAAAAGACACAATATAAAGTTAACCAATATTTGGGCATATCTAGCTTTGTTCTCTTTGTTCCTTCTATCAAATCAGCTGCACTGATCTTACAAAGTGAATGATAAATTAATAATTATTCCTTGATTAACCCAATCTTAAGTAAATTCTGAAAATGTTTGTTTTAATAAGGCTACAGATATATTTCTTGGGTATGCACAGGTATGAAAATGAATACCATGGTAAGTTGTTAGTTGCCTAATTTGAATATCTAAACAGTACTTGGTTAGACTGTAGGTCCAGTATTGTTAAGTAAATAAAAGAATAAAACCTACAAAAAACCCAGTAGTTCTGATATAATCTTAGCAATTTCTACTTTGTACATTTCTTTTTAGAATTACCTTAGAAGATTTATTAAAATTTTATGAATCTACTTATTGAAGTAGAATTTTAAGTGACTTTTTAAGTGTGTTTTGAAGAGATGTACCAGACATTACAGTAAGTTTTCTCAGTCATTGAATGCATAGAGCTCAGAAACATATCAATAACATTTTACTATGAGATTCAGAAAATGATACTTTTCATACTAATTATTTCCTTTTTTTCTTCTTTCTTTGCTGCTTGTTCATTGGATATTTAAAACTTCTCTTTCCCATTGTATTTTTGTGTGGACATTTTCATTGTGAAAATCTTAAAAGTGAGCAAACAGGTGCCTTCAAGCCCGAGGTCCCAGATTAATTCTGTTTCTTCCGACAAAACAAATAATAATAATTGCTACTTGGACTATTCTTTTGCTCCTGAAAATTACTTGGCATTAGAAAAAAAAGATTCTCAGAATTTATTGATATATCCTTCTAAAGATGACATTGAGAAATCAGTTATTTTTAATCAAGATGGAACTATGACAGTTGAGATGAAAATTCGATTCAAGATAAAAGAGGAGGAAACTGTAAAATGGACAACTACTGTCAGTAGAGGTGGTCTTTCTAATAATGATGAAAAGAATGAGATAAGCAGTTTGCCAGGAAGAACTGATGATCTGTCGTCTGGTTTAAAATTGGAAGCATGTTCATTGTTTGCAGATGTCTCCCTTCTGGAGAAAGGCAATAATCAAGACGGAAGTTTAGTACATGAGTCAAACACTCAAGTGACAGATCAAGAGACTGAGACTTGTAGTTCTGCTAGTTGGGATAATGCTACTCTGGACAGAGATATCATTCAAGGAACTCAGGATCAAGTGAAGCATAATTTTTATAGGCCCCCTACACCTGGGCCAAGGAGAGTGAGACCAAAGAAATCTGTAATAGGGAGTGTGACCTTAGTATCTGAAACTGAGGTAGAAGAGAAAACAATTAGGCAGTTTTCCTATAGTAACGAAAGGGAAAGCGGGGAAAACAAATCTGAGTATCACATGATTACACATTCTTGTAGTAAAATGTCATCAGTATCTAACAAACCAGTAGTTGTTCAGATCGATAATAATGAGAACATGGAGTCATCTTTAGAAAGAAAAAAGGAAAGCACAGTGCTCAAGTCAAGTGCAATAAGTGCTGGTGTAATAGAAATTACAAATCAGAAGATGCTAGAGATGTCTCATAATAGTGACTTACCATCAGCTGTATCAGAGAATTCAATGGTGAAGGAGGATGTAGGTGATAGTGTATTATCAGACAACAAAACTGGTATCAAGAACTTCAGAACTTATAAGAATACAAATGATAGTTTCAGTGCTACTTCAACAGATTCAACTCGCTCCTCAAGTAAGAACTCTGGAACATACAAAAATATTTCTGAGGCTCTATCTTCAGTAGGATCCTCTGCTGTTACCACAAGAATTGACAGACTAACTAATGAATTTGCTCAGTGTGGTTTAACAAGGCTTCCAGAAAATGAAAAACAGATTTTGTCATCTCTTGTCAGAAAAAAGAAGAAGAAATCTCAGCAGCAAGTGATAAATTCCAAGTATCAGCCTGGGGAGATTACAACCAAAAGAATCCCCATTAAGAGTGAGAGAATAAACATAAGAGATAAAACTGCACAAGAATCCATATTGCTAGATTCACACAGTTTCCGTAAAGGAGGGTTACTTTCTGAGAAAGAGCTCCATGCAAGTGATATGGTAATTGAATCAAATCATTTTTCTTCCAAGAATAGTAATAACACAATTTCCAAGAATTTTCATAGAAATAAATCAAATAGTACTACAAATCCTAATGTTCAAGGACTCTTAACCAGGAGAAAATCCAGATCACTAAAGAAAGTAAGCTTAGGACGACCTAAGAAAAGAGAAATTGGCCAAATAGAAAAAGCATTTCCCCACAATGACTCTAAATATTGTAAAAGTACTTTTGAAAATCAAAGTTTATTTAATGTGTTTAACCTCATTGAACAAAAACCCAAAGATTTTTGTGAATCACAACCTCAAGAAGAAGTGGTATCTGGTTATTTAAGAGGAATGGCAAAGAAGAGTCTAGTTGCAAAAGTTAAGGATTTACATATAAAAAGCCAGAAAAAACAAAAAGGAGGTAAATTGAAATTAGGTGCTATTGTAAATAAACAACATGGTACTTCCTTAGCTTCTTTACAAAATGCTGATTTTCCTGAGGATATTGCCCAACATTCCATTCCAAATTATGTACAGAGATGGTTACAGAACATAAACCCATATCCAACTTTAAAACCTATAAAATCATCTCCACTATGCAAAAATGAAAGGAGCCTGACAGGTTATAACAATAATGGTTTTCCTGGAAATAATCCCCATACAAGTTGTGGAGAAGGAAATAATTTTGTTATGGAAAATAATAAACATGTAACTGAAAATATCAGTTTGACAGGCGATAGTCTATGTAAAGACGTAGAGGACTCTCTTTTTGCCAAAGATAATGGTGAAGAATTTACTGAAGATCTCCATGGGAGCCAGGTTGGATCTGCCAATGATGCTTGCTTGGTTTCCCCACATGAATACTGTACTTTGTCACAGTCAGCTGTTAATAACCATAATATTAAAAGTACAGTATCTGCTGAAAATTCAGGATCAGATAAGGTAAGTCGTGTTTACCAAGAAATAAACCAAGCTACAAAAGGCCAAAGTGTAGAGGCTGCCATTCAGGTAGATCCTATAGAAGAGGATACTCCGAAAGACCTCTTACCAGTCTTGTTTCATCAACTGCAAACTTCAGCTCCTAGTATTCACAAGACTCAGAATGGCATTGTTCAAATGCGAAGGTCACTTGCAGATGTGTCCTTTCCTTCTGTAATGTGTAATTCATCCACTAATCTCCTTTTAGCATGGCTTCTGGTGTTAAATCTAAAGGGAAACATGAATAGCTTCTGTCCAGGTGATGCTCATGAGGCTACCAGCAAATCTTCAGAAACACTTGCATTGCTGGAGATTCTAAAGCACGTTGCCATTACAGAGGAAGCTGATGATTTGAAGGCTGCTGTTGCCAGTTTAATGGAGTCAACCACAAGTTACTTTGGACTTGTGGAGAAAGAACAAGATATGGTTCCAATAGGTTTTTCCACAAATTGTCCCATTGTTAACATTCAGAAAGTTCCTAAGTGTGATGAAAATGAAAAAGCAAATATCCCTTCTTTGGATGGAGGCTACTCTACCAGTGAGGCTGATGTACCTGAAGTCTGTGTTTCAGAGGTGAATTGCTCTCCATTTGAGTTGTGTACTGTGAGTAACACTTACACTCCAAAAGACACTTGTAACTCCCATGAGACTTTTTTTCCTAGTGACAGTTATGCCATGAGTCAGACCTCCATGAATAAGGCTTGTTTCCTAGAAGATACCTGTTCACTTGCTGATGCTGTGTTTCTTCAAGAAGCTTATGCTCTAAAGGAGAATGATGTCTATGGAACAGCTTACCCGTTTGATGAGACCTACATTCCTATTGAAGTCTGCCATGCTACTGATGATTTAAATTCCGAAGAAAACATATATACTGATAACTTGGAATTAACTGAAGAGTTAGAAAAAGTTGATGAATTTCAGAAAGACCTAAGTATTTTGGCAGACTCTGGGTATGAAACTAGCTTTAATACATTGATTTCCCATCAAAATGACAGTAATGTAAGCCCTTGTGGCCTTTTTCTAAATGAAACTGAACCAGAATTTCATAAGAATCATAATCCTATAGAGGAATTTCAAAATTGTTCACTAAAGGAAGTTCAGGATGAAAATGCATACACATCTTTTGATAAGGAAGAATCAAAGACTTCTGAAGATCCAAGCTCAGTAACCAACAGCATGACATCAAACGAAAGACACAATATTTCAGAATTGGAATCTTATGAAGAACTAGAAAACCAGGATGCTGATATCTTTAACACAGTGGTATGTGGAGGAGAGCAAGCTATTGAAGAATCAATTTCAAAAGAGTTATTAGCCAGTAAAAATTTAGAATTGATAGATATTTCTGATAGGAGCATTATAGAAGAAGAAAGAAGGAATGGTATAAGTTGTCAGACAATTAGTAGTAGGCTAGCAACACCACCGTCTTTAGATTTTTGTTATGATTCTAAGCAAAATACTGAAAAAGAGGTCAATGAAGGAGAAACTGAGATGAGAGTAAAAATGATGGTGAAAAACATGGATGCTGGAAGTTATTCAGAGTCCTCTCTTGACTTAAAAAAATGCTTCAAGAGTCCAGTGACTTCTGATTGGTCTGACTATAGACCAGATAGTGAGAGTGAACAGCCCTATAAAACATCTAGTGATGGCCCCAGTGACAGTAGTGAGATTGCTCAAGAGAAAGAGTACAATAGAGGATTCGTTAAAAGGGCAGTAGAAAAGCTTTACAGTAAAGCAGAAATCATTAAACCTTTTATTCCAGGATCTACAAACAGATCTCAGGTTCGTCCTTGCAATGAGATTGAATTTCATTGTTCTAGGAAACCAGGTTTTTATGATTCTGAAGGCCAGTCATTTGGGTCTTCTGATCAAGTATCTAGTAGTTCACCTATGTTGCAGGAATTCCAGGAGGAAAGACAAGATAAATGTGACATTAGTGATGTGAGGAACAATTATGGGGACCACACTGTGGAATATGGTACAAAACCGAATGATCATAACAGACCTCTTGGAGACTTAGAGGAAGGAGTATTGATTGACAAAGGCAAGTGGCTCCTGAGAGAAAATCATTTGCTAAGAGTGTCATCTCCTGAAAATCCTGGAATGTATGGCAATTTAGACACTACATCAGTGGATACCCTACTTGATAATAACAGCAATGAGGTACCATATTCACATTTTGGAAATTTGGCCCCAGGTCCAAGTATGGCTGAACTATCTTCTTCAGAACTGGAGGAACTGACTCAACCCCTTGAACTAAAATGTAGTTATTTTAACATGCCTCATGCTAGTGATTCAGAACCTTTTTGTGATGATTTGCTAGATGTTCAGAATAAAACCCATGCCAAGGAGAGAGTACCAAGTCATTATACAGAGGCGATGGGTAATCATCGGTCAGAAACAGTATGCACATCTGTTACTCATGCTTTTTTGCCTGCTGGTAACAAAGTCCACCCTGCCTCTGAAGATGCTGTTAAAAACCAGCCTTTGCCGGGCAATAGTATGATTCGTGGTACTCTTCAGGAAGGCGACTCTTTGGATAAGCTCTATGCTATTTGTGGCCAACATTGTCCAATATTAACTGTTATTATTCAACCTGTAAATGAGGAAGATAGAGGATTTGCATATCGTAAAGATTCAGATATTGAAAATTCCTTGGATTTCCACTTATGGATGAAAATATACCCATATTTACTACAGTCAAACAAAAATATGTTCAAGGACAAGAACAATGAAACAAATATGAGAAAAGAATTTATTGATAATGCCAAGGGCAATCTATTTGATCAGTTTTACCTTAATAACTCACTTGGCTTGATGGATAAAAGAAAAACCCCAAAAAGAATGAAGTTTTTGGACCTAATGGGAGAAAGTAATTTACAGACATTTCAGTCCTATTTAAACAAAAGGTTTTGTATGAATATCTTGCACACATTTTTAGTTGTGGATGATATGAATTCAAATACGTGGGTCTCCAGTAATCAGACAAATCAGATCTTTAAAACAGTTGATGAGAATAACAACTTCTTAAATAACAAATTCCAGAGCCAAAGAGTAAGTCTTTACTCACTAGTAAGAGAAAATACCAGTCATCATTTCTCCTTTGAAATGGTTGGTCAAGCCTGCCTGTTAGATAATTGCCAAACTGAGACATTCTTAAATATTAGCAACAGAAGTATTTTAAAAATACTTTATATTTTTGAGGGTGAAAACCTTTTCATTTGGGAAGAGGAAAACCAATTAAGTTTAAATGATTTTGAATGCTGTAATGAACAAGAAGATTTATAACTTCAAAATCAGCATAGCCCTTCTTTGTTAGGATGTTTTTTTTCCCCCCATAATAAGAAGTCCATGGGATGGATATGAACCATAAAACCTCAAGAATTTCCTACTTCTTCAAAATAAGCTTACTCTAGAAAACTTACCCTTGGGTAAGCTGTTTGGACTTTACTATTCCTTTGTTTTTTATTTTTTCAACTCTTACAGACTTGGTTTCAGTTATTTTATTTTGGAGAGTTTTATGTCACTTAATTCTGAACTCCTGATTTCCTAGATCTATGATTTTTTGCTTAGGGCATCAATAATGTGCTAAGGATAAGAATTAATATTTTCTTTTTAATGTTATCAGCTTGATATAAAAATACATTGGTGAATAAATTGGATGTAACCTCAAAGTACTTCATTTATTAATTTTTAACTACTGATTTGATAAAAGGGGTGATTTTTAAGATCTCTTTAACAATTTCAAAGTTTCAAAGTGCCAAATGTCTACTGAATCCAGTTCCATCAGAACATTTATTTAATGAAGTTACACACATTTCCATGGGACAGGAGTCACTATTTTTTATGAATAGAAAATAGTACTCCACCACTACACTGCCTCTCTAGTACTTTTAGTAAAAATTAAAATCTTTTAGCATTAGTATTTTGTTAGGAAATCCATAGGTCAGAAAGATAGGGGAAAAGTTTAAGGCATAATCTATGAAGGAAAATTTAAAAAGTTGAAACGACTGAACCTGGAAAAGGAAAAAGAATGGTAGCTTGAGATGCTCTTCAAATCGAAAAAGAATTACTGTGAAGAATTTGACAGATTTCTTTTCTGTTTACCTGCATTAATAAAAGATTTATTTAGATGTAAATAATAACATTGTTGTCTAAAAGGTAGTTAGATTTGATTAGATTATGAACTATAAATTCTCTTGAATAATTGTAGTATATTGCTTGGGTGTTAACCAGAAACCAGAAAAATTTCTTACATCTCATGACTGTATGATGGTATAACACGCAGTCGTGGACTGCGTGATGGTATAACACGCAGTCGTGGACTGTATGATGGTATAACACGTGGACTGCATGATGGTATAACACGCAGTCGTGGACTGTGTGATGGTATAACACACAGTCATGGACTGCGTGATGGTATAACACGCAGTCGTGGACTGCATGATGGTATAACACGCAGTCGTGGACTG